TCAGGCGCTCGAATATCTTACCAAGCTCGGGAAATTCTTGCGTGACGGCTTCTGGCTGGGTGAAGGCAAGTGGTGTCTGTGTTTCCCGCGCGACTTCCTCAAGGACGGATCGGACAGCTGGATCGTTTGTCCCGTCAACGACGCAGGGAACGCCCGGTTTCATAATGCCCGCCTTTTCCCGCGTGATCTTCTCGATTGTATCCCCCAGAATAGCTTGGTGGTCATAGCCGATCTTCGCAATGATAGACACCAGAACATTGCTGTCGTTTAAGACGTTTGTCGCATCCAGGCGGCCGCCCATGCCCACCTCGACGATCCCAACGTCAACATTTTCGAGCGTGAAGATCTCAAACGCAGTAGCAGTCAGCAGCTCGAACTCCGTCGCGCCAATGCCCAGCGACTGGTTGCGGAATTTGACCTTGTCTTCTATCTGGCGGAAGACGGATTCGCGGACCACGCGGTCGTTGATGGTTATACAGTCCCAGCGGTCAATGAGGTGGGGGGAGGAAAAGGAGCCGCAGCGCACGCCGGCTGCGGCGAGGAGGGCGGAGATGTAGCTCGTGATGGAGCCTTTGCCGTTAGTGCCGGCGATGTGGATGGCTTTCCATGGCAGGGGAGAGGATTGGACCAACCGAGCAATGCGGGAAAGACCGAGTTCAATCATCCTGTCCCCTGCGGTTCTTTCGAAGGGGGGAGTTTGGGTTGGCAAGAGTGGATCAGCCTTTCAGGGCAGGGGGAGGGCAAATATAATCTGCCTAGAATAAACACGCCATTGTCACAGCTGCTTCCCCTTCCAGCCCAAAGTCTTCCTGTCTATGGTGTAGGAATCGTAGTCAAGGGGACTTTATCCGCATCGCGATGACTCTTTCCTGTCCAATCACGCATCGCTGCCTGATTCTGAAGTCACATGACCCTATCCTCCCACCGACCAGCGAAACTAAGCCTAATCGGATAACCGCCAGCGCCCGGTCGGATTTTTGCAGTTCCGGTCTTTTATTACAAGCTCAATACACGACATGCCGTAATATACTCCCCAAATCTGGCGGGGCATCTTGTGTCTGGGGGCAAGTACTGCCGATTGCTCTGCCAACCTTATTTCCACCCGCCAGATCGTTAAATACGGTACTCCTACGATACGCGCGCACGGCCAGCCGCCATGGCCACCGGCCAATCACGCGCGGGTATTTCCTTTCCCTCGCATCACCAACCACCTCCTCCTACTCCTGTTCCGTCCTCCGCCTCAGCTTCTTCTCCCCTCAACAGCCTCACTACCACTCCTCCGCAGCTCCTGGTTCTGCTTCATCAGAGTCGCGCACGGGCAAGCATCCTTTTTCTACTTCGCCTCTCTCTCCTTCTGTTGCTGTGCGAAAATGGGAATCCCGTAAGTCTTTCTTTGGTCTTCGCGGCCTGACTCGTGACTTAAATTCGCGTGCAGTTTTGGGTGTGATGTGTTGTCCCTTGAGCCGCCAAGTCGTCGCGACAGGCTGCGCAAAATCGCCCAATTCTTTATGGTCGCCCAACCCCCTGGAAATACAACCGTGATATCTTATTTCTCAATAGTGACATACTGATGCGCTTTGTATTTGTTTAGTCTCCACTGGGAACCGCCTGCTCGTTCCGCTGCTGCAAGTAATGGTAGGGCGAAGGCGGATCCTCTGGCACCGTCCCGCTCAACTATTAGGCGCCAACGGACACTCCGCCGTCCTCACAGGAATAATAATGGATCAAGAAGCGCTTCTTCGAATCGTCCTGCTGGCTACGTACCTTCGCGTCCCTCAATGCCCCAATGGGTAGAAAGCCTTAGTCGCGAAGCCTTGGGCGACAGTGCCACTTCTTCTACTGCTACGGCTAGAGGTTCAGCAATGACCACCGGCGAACCAGGAGCCTCGCGTTATACTCCTTCTCAGGATAATGAGACTCGTCTGGATTGGCCTGCGTCCAGTTCTTACTCTTCATCTCAAACTAGGCGCGATTTAGGCGATCAGATACCCCGAACGACTGCCCTGCGCTACTACTCATCCCCTGGCGGTCGTCGTATAAGGATTCCCCGAGAGTCCTCTTTGAGGTTCGAGATGCTACATCCGCCTTCATGGTCTCATTCAACCGAACGATCCCGCCGGTCGGAATTGAGTAGTGATGCGACGGCCAACTCCCGGCTCGAGAGCCGTCTTGGAGAAATTGTGTCGTTCAGCCCCAGATTTGCACCAGCGTACCCACCACGTAGCAATGGGCGTGCGATGGTATCGTCAGATAGTTACGATCCAAACATGCCATTGTTGCGAAGAGTTGGTCATCGCTCCGTCGCAGATACAAGTGACCTCGATGCCACTCGACCCCGTCACATCATCGATGGGCTTGGCGATCGCGATCGAAGCCTCAGCCCTGGAGGCGACAGCCAACACGATGACGAAGACAGCCACTATCATGATCATGATGATGATGATGATGACGATGATGATGACGAACCAAACATGTGGGAATCTCTGTTTACCACCATCACACCTGATCAACACCTCCCAAGCCTCGACTCCTCCTTCACCTCCGCCACCGCATCTGCCTCCACTGCCCCCTCCCGCAACTCAGCCAACTCCTCGCAATCGACACTCCCCTCCTCTCTAGGCGCCAACAACAGCAACCCATCGCGGCGCCCGGGCGTCTTTCCTCCCCTCGAGTCATTCACAGATCACAACAACCACTGCGATTTTTTCTCCTCGTCCGAAGACTCTGAAACGGAACCGGACTCGGACAATGAGCACATACCCACCTGGCGGCTCATGCAGTACGACGATCCTATGCCTATATCATCATCAGTGTCAGCAATCGACGATGCCATCCGGCGGAGCGAGCAGCAGCAGCAACTGCGGCGACGATATCAAGAAAATCTACTTGGCATCACACAAACCATCCGAGCTGTAGTCGCAGAAACACCTGCGAACCGCAATGGAGACCACAACACAACCACTAACATAAACACAAGCACAAACGCAACCTCTTCCTTCACCTCATCATCAACGACCCCCACATCCATAAACGTCTCCTTCGGCCAGAGTAGCTCCATGGGAGATCTCCAGCAGGTCCAAACCATCATCGACCAGCTGACGCGCAGACAAGATATCGGTGACGACTGGTGGGCGGCTGTGGGGTTATCGCGGAATCTAGGGAGGGGAGTTACGGATGTTCCAGCTAGGAATGGGAGTGGGAATAGTGGTAGCGGGGATGCCGAGGGCCGATAAATTGTGAATCTTTTAATTTCTTTTTTCATTTTATTTTATTTCATTTTTTTCTATTTGCATCTCTTTTTATATTCTCTTCTGCTGTTTTATATCATGGGTAAATGAATGGGATATGTTTTGAGAGGGTTCTGCGCCATGAGTTTGGCTTTGTCTTGAATTATGATCGAATCTTTTTTTTTTTTTTTTTTTTTTTTTTTTTTTTTTTTTTAACTTCTTTTCCATCAGCTCGTCTCTTTTAGAATTTTTCTTTCGGGTGTAATTGCTTTCCTTTCTATTTTCTGTATGTCTATGCTTATTGATCTCTCTATCAACACCTGCGTTCTTTTTCAATTTAATAACTTCCTTCTTTTTCTTCTTCTCTAACATTTCTCTTATCGAGTCCACTCCCTGGATCGAGGACTCTTATATCACGGAATAGGATGGGGGAAATTATAAAAATGGCGCTTTCTTCTGTTTTTTTATTTCGTTCCTTTTTCTCCTCTCTCGCTTTCTTTATGTTTGATCAACAGCTGGACCGCGAGATTTAGCGGATGGGTAACCCTCTTTTTCTTCCCTTTAATCTTTCTTCCTCTCGACCGCGGGTTCCCTGTTCCTTCGTGACGCTTTGCTTCTACTGGGGCTTTTTGAGCTACTCGCTGTGCGAAGTATCTGCTAACGAATTTTATTTATATCTTATTTTCACGGCCTGGTCTTGTCGTTTCTTTATGTTTTGCTTTTTTTTTTTTCATTTGTCGTAGTTTTTGCCCTCCCTTGGTTTTTTTTTTCCCTGTCAGGTTTAAATTGACATTAGGAAACAAATGGACTTCGCCATGACGTGATGGATGCCCTTGTCTCTCTCCTACTCTTCCGAGCTCGTCACATTTTCTTTTTTCCAACAAGGGCTTCGTCTCGTTTTTGTATGTATCTTACTTAACTCAGTCGGTATGAAATCAATACGTACATCAACTTAACCAGTTATATCTCCTTGAGGTCCCCGGCCAGGAGATTCCTACATAGGAGCAGGAAACCGATCGATCAACACAGTGTGGGGAGCCTAAGTTAAGGTTACGGCTAGTCGCAAGAGCTCGCAAGGGGGAGTAAACTTAATCCGTTTGGTTATATATATACTGCGTATAACTTTTCCTCGGTGCTATTATTTATCCGGGTTTTGTACAGCTGTTGGCACGTTACCTACCCCCCCTACCTACCAGTTACCTAGGTAGTTACCCCGAAGCGGGATAAGTTAACTAGTATCGTGGTTGTTATCATTACACAAAGCTTCCTGGTTAAAGTAGTTGAGCCAAAAATCCAACCTGGTTTCGCGTCCGTCGCGGTGTGAATAAATGCAACCGGGCCCATCAGTAACAGAAACTAGTTATCTTCACGACTTCTAAAATTCGGCTACGCTTGTGGGTTGGGTAGGTATGGCGGTGCTATGTGTAGGGCAGCTTGGGTGTTTGTACCCTTAGCAACTGGTGCAATTTCGTGACAATTGAGCTCAAGTTATATGAGAGAACTGGACAATTTTGGTTTGCTCTGCTGCCAACGTACACGTACAGATGCAAATTGTTTGAAGAAAAGGTCTATATTCATACGTGTGAAACTATTTATTAACTATCTTGCGGATATTCAATGACTCGTACGACAAAACCCCTCATGGCGGATTAGTTTCAGAATCCGATTGACAACCAAGCTCCCTCTCCAGATCCTGGCAGGTTCCATGCCCAACCTCACAAGCCCACAATAATCTGCGGCACCACAAACTCTTCTGAGTACTTCCAAATCAAGCTAGTGTCGTGCGCCTTCCACACAGCTCCGGTCCGGTGCGTCTTCCTTTCGCCCTGCAGCTTATAGAGCTTGTCATAGAATCCGTCTTTGATATCCTCTATACTCACCCTGCAGGCTGTACGGAGCATGTGAAGAGAAAGTCACTAATTCCGGCTCGCCTGGGGGAAATTTGGCCGGGTTCTTATTCGGGGGCTGTTTGATGGCTTTGATGATGTCCGCCTTCACGGCATCGTCGGACAGTGGGACAGTGGGATGGACTTGCTGGACTGGGGCGTGGCATAGTATACCCTATGTAGTCCGGCGACTCCTGTGGGTATGAAGATACACGCTCCAGGTAGGTGTGCGAACCTACATTTGATGTTGTCCGCAGCTGCGTTGTGGACGAGGGCGTTGTCAGGCATGCTAGAGTTTTTGACGAGGCCGACGTAGTAGCCTGTAGTGATATACTTGCCGAAAAGAGACTTCTCAGTGGTGCTGCGGCCGAATGGGGCCAGGATGTCGAGTTTTGGGGAAGGTAATGAGCAGCTTTTTGGCGATGATTAGTTTTAGGCCACTTGGTGTACGAACGACGAGCTTAACACCACACTTGCCATGGGAACGATGGGCGAACAGAACCGACTTCAGGGCCCGATTCTCAAAACATCCGGGGCTATTCTTGACCTCTTCGAAAAACTGAAGCAGAACGGCCAGGCCTTTGTAAAGTTCTGATCGTGCAGCGTGCATTCGGGTAAATCATTATTATCCTTGAGTGTCCATTGTGCATGAACCACCCTTCTACCAATGCTCTTGCAGAGATTCAATCGAGTTCTCCTTCTTCAAGCTGGCGGCGACTTCTACTTTGGAGAAGTTAGGAAGAATTTACAAATCTTGATTGATTACTTTGTCCGCAACGGTCGTCCTCCGCGCTGAAGGGATGCTGGACGTCATCAGTGCTTCTCCGGATCACACACCGATATTGACTAGTTTGAGATGACGTATCTCCCCTGAACATGCAGGCGTCCAAAAGCATTAGGCTAGGGGGCGAGCTCTCCTAGCAAGCTTACTTGTCACCCACCGCATCCCGTCAAAAGTGTGAAGAGAAGACAAGCTACCGCGAGCCTACCGCTCCCTTCTGAGCTCAGCTCCGCGAAGTTCAAATCTGAGTATTCCAGCAATCCGTGTTCACCCCCCTACTTCTACTCCAAGGCCGTCCGCTACATCTTACCTGTACTTCTAGTCGGTTTACCGCTCTTCAGCTCACCCAACATCATCCAAGGTCTTCAAAACCAAATGTTTGGCATCTTCATGCTCCTCTCCATCATCAACCAACTTATCCAGCAAATCATGCCGCATTTCTCTGCCAAGCGCGCGACATATGAAGTCTGTGAGAGGCCATCAGAGACATACTCCTAGAAAGCCTTCCATCATCTGCGATATTCTTGTTGGACTCCCGTAGACCTCGCTCACGCATGTTCTCATGTTCCTCTATTGGTATTGCCCAGTCGGTCCATACCATAACGTGGAGCCAACTGATATGGTGAACCTGCGCGCCATGCAGCTGCGGCTGATGCGCCCAACATCCCTCCTCTCTTCTCATATCCTTTTTGCGCATTTCATGATCACGGCATTCGATGGAGCTGAGAATGCTAAAAATCTAGACAGCTTGCACATTGACCCTGTTAATGGGACTTTGCAGCGAGTACCTGGACTTGTATGTGTCGAATATGGGCTGTCATTTTTTGGAATGGAAATGGCCACTTCTGATCGCATCTTCTGCACGATAAAGGAGACGAATGTGTTCCCTAGTGGTGCTTTCTCGAGTTATTCGGATTTCGAATTCATATGGGTATTCATTATTGCTCAGTATTTTCGCTGCATGCTTGCTTTGCTGGTGGCTGTTCGTATTCCGAAGTTCAAGAAGACGGGTAGTAAAAGACCGATTGAGCATCGTTTCTGCTTCCATTGATTGTTTAGTCCTTCTAGATTGCACTTTAAATATATAATAAAACTCGCGTGATCGTCACTTGGGACATTCCTCATAAGCATTCGAATCTACCAATTTCCCGGGCCAGCATCATGCGTGCAACAAGTGGCTTAGGGTTGAAAGATAACTCATCAGAGCTTCAAAAATTCGTCATACAATCTGAACAGGCGGCAATACGCCCGCGGTTAAGCTGGAAAAGGGTAGCATAGATTGTCCACGCCGCACTGAGGAGTGTGATTCTTCATCGTCATCTTCCTCTTCCCATCACTTCAGTTACTTTGCAGGTCCTTGGGAGTGAAGAACCCCTCGTCTAGCTCTACTAGATGTTAAATCCACGGATATATGCCTCAGCCCTGGTATGAAAATTAGCCTGTCTTGGTTTACAGTTGCTTGGCCTTCCAACATGATTCGCAGGTGGCCTTATTTTGTTTTGTTTCCTCAGATGAATGACTCACACACAATTGATGTGAGGAGCTTTTGGCAGTAGCGCTTACCGGCTGAAGGTCAGGGACAGTGTCAATGGAAACACTTGAGGGGGGGGGGTCGTATGAAGGTTGGGACTTTCGTGATCTGTAGAGGTGCAACGCCTCAAACAGCAAATACTTCCGTCACGACAATTGGGGTCCTAGAAATGGTAGCTAATCCGTATATAATGAGCCTTCAAAGATCAGGTTTGTTGAAGGCCCCAAAAAGCTGGTCGTGTGTGTGTGTGTGTGTGTGTGTACTACTACTATGTAAGTTGGAACGTGTACGAGCGCCAAAGTTTCATGTACTGTACAATACATGTATCCAACTAAAACAGATGATTTTTCGCGTTCAGATGCTGTCCCACCCAACCCTCTTGCCGTTCAAGCCTCTGATGTCGATTTGAGAAAAGCCACCAACCAACGGAGGCTGCTCCACGCGAAGGCATCGTGATGCCATGGCCTCGGTTGGAAACCAATAATTGGGATTGCATTGTCATGCGGGAGAGCGAATTGCGCAGGTTAGGCTGAAGCAGAGAAGTTGGAGGGGGGTTCAAGTTGGGTGGCAAGCCGCATGAATTTCGAGCCGGGATGTTCCCGGGAGAATGTATCAACTTGGATAAACTCACGAGGCACAATAATAACAAACCAGGGAGTGGTCGGAGAAAAAGAAGAGTCCCCATTCCCACCAGACTCAGGGGCCCCTTGCCCGACTCTCCGTCTCTCCACCAGAAGAGCTGAGAACAGCTAACAAAGGAATCGGCTCTTCTAGTGGTCCCTGGTCGGTGGTCCCGGTCCAGGGACTTGGCTCAGAAGAATCAGAACCCAGCCAGTTAGGTGAACTGCGCATTCGTTAGCTTCAGATGTTTTTATTTGTCAACAGCACGCCGTCACCTTAAGCCCGATTTGGCGATGGAAGCCATGGTGTGCGCGACGGAGATACATATGAATCCACAGAGAACAGACCAGGCATGGCAAAAACTTTGGCACAACGCTAACTCCATGCTGTGTTAGTCGTCAAATACCTAGGGACAAGAAATTTCAAATCTGGCGGGGGCAGAGGATACATATATAAAATGGTTGCATCGCCCCTGTTGGCTTGATGTTTTCTGCTTTGCCGACCCGAGATACAAAGCCATTATCATAGTGCTAATTTGCTCCTTTTTCCAACTCTTTGGTGCGTAAGCTGACGTGCCCAAAAAAAAAAAAAAAAAAAAAAAAAAAAAAAAAAAAAAAAAAAAAAAAAAAGACAAGGGAACACTGAGGACAACATCTGCATTCCCATACAGTCACGATGATGAAGTCTATATTCTTCACGCTTTCCCTAGCAGCACTGGGCATGGCGCAGTCATCTACAGTTCCCTTGCCTCCAACGACTACGGCGGCCGGCCCGGTCACTGTCTTCAACCTCCTCGTTCCCGCCGCCTCTCCTGTTCCCTCCGAAGTATCTATCGTTGACGTTGTAAGTTATCTCAACGCGTTTGTTCATTTGCAAGGCCCTCCCCGGTCATTTTCTCTATATAGAGAAAGAAAATAAAGAAGAAAAGAAGACGTAGCATTGGAAAACGTAGCTAACTAATAGCGCTTCTCCGTCTATAGGGCAAAGATGCTATTACATTCGCCGTAGATATTGGTTGTTTGCCAAACCTCATCAGCGGCCGCTGTGAAGAAATCGAGGAGTTTGACGTTGCCACAATCATACAAGGCCCCGAGACTTACGCGCAGTCTGCATCGTTATCTGGAATGTGAGCTTTTTTCATGTTTTATTTTTTTCTCATCCCTCCTTCAATTTCTATTGCCCGCCCGCCGTCTTCCAGATTTCCTCACCAAGCAAAAGCCGTGTGATGAAAGAGGGTTAATTATAAGAACGAAAAAATGGACCAAAAGTTCTGCCCATTTCATACTTGCTTACTTTCCCTTAGTGGTATTGATGCCGCCTGTTCCCTCGGCGGCACTACATCTGCAGCATGCACATTTATAGTGGAGTCGGCTGGCATAGAAGCCACTCTCAAGACTACATTGTCCGGAAGTGAAATCGAGACTGCATTCATACCTGTCACGGCCACCGCTGGTATTGAGAAGCTGGCTGATGGGGCACCAAATGCCGGGCCGAGAGAGACTGGGAACATCAATTGGGTGATTGGTGGTGCAGCTGCGGCGCTTGCGATGGCTGCCGCGATATAAGTATAGGAGAAGATATTATTGTTGAGATTGGGAAAAACAATTAAAAAAAATCCAAAATGACTTCGAGATATCATGAGGTCTGGCGGCTTTTAAGGAGCCTGACTTTCTCTCTTTTTTGCCCTCGTTTTCTCTTTTTTCTTCAACTCAGTCAGTATATGTATGATTCATATGATTCCCCCCCCCTCTTGGGTTTTGATTTTCTTGGTTTGGCGAATTGTGCATTTTGAGATGTTTGTATTGGGAGTGAATGCCGCCTACTAAAGAAGTTTAAACTGGATGAATTTTATCTTCTTTCACAGCCTGAGTTCTATGAAACGAACTGTGTCGTCAACCGATATTTTATTTGTTGACTCGTCGATCAGCTATTAGTGGAGGATCCGACATCTCGTTGACGATAAATACTCCTGTCACTATACATTGGCGCTCGGTTAGGTTGAGTTTCCCAAAGCTCCTACGATTGCTCTCCCTTCCTCCTATGTGTGCTAGTATGCCATTACGCAGCGGTAGGAGGAATAGCTTCCGATTCGAATCATATCGCCGTCTGAATCCCCGCGGTGCAGTTTCCTGTCGTCGTCAACGCTGTAAATAAATTGCGCCTCAATCCTTTGGCATTGTGTGAATCGGGAGCTTTGCTATTCGCAGCTAGCTGCTTTCTTCACCGCGTTCTCTGGATACGTATATATATGGGTGGTGGATATAGATGATAAACTTGCACAACTGGCATTTGGTTTTGGGGGTCCCCAGCACCTCCTGCTGAAGTTTGCGAGCATATAATATAATATACTATGTTCGCCTGTACGGAGTACAGAACATTTGTATATAACACAGCGGGCGGTCTAGATGTTCAGCGCCGGCCTTTAACAATTTGACAAAGCTCAAGCAAAGTTGGCTCAAGAGGGACCTCACTTTTCTATAGTTAATCAATCTTTCAGTGGTCAAGTTGAGCAGTCAGAAACATTACTTTCTTGGATCAGTAGTACACCCGCTTGTTGTAGGATTAATGACCTTGTTGCCCGGGGATAGTTAGTCAAGGTGTACAGAGTAAATGAGGTGTGTGGCCTAAATCACCTTTTCACTGTTGCTTCAAACGCGAGGATGTTCACCGATACCCCCATAATGATATTTAGTAACTATGCCACTAAAATATTAGGGGGACCCTAACGAAAATACCGGGATAACCAGCGTAGAGCATACTAATAATAGGTCGTGAGATGCTTGGAACGGTTCCTGTACAGTTATATCTTGATTTTGAAGCTCTTTCTTATCTTGACAGTAATAGAATGAGAGACAGTAATATTATTGCGTATAGAGTATGTGTAATAATAATGAGAAAGGAAGCTCTCTCTCCTATTTGTACGCTGTAGTCAGAGCATGCCTAACCAGACTACGCACTCCATGTCGCCTTGTTGATAAGTTACAAAAAACCTCCGAGGGCCCTTGTTCTGCCTTGGATGGCCTTGGTAACTAGTCCCATGCCATGCCCCAACTAGTTTTTTTCCGCCTCCAACTCATATTTCCGACCTAGTCGCTAACCTCGTTGTGCTGCTATCATATCATTCATATGCGCCGGCTGCATCGCATCTGTCCGTAATTCCCATTCATCTTTTCGATAATGATTAGTCAATTTTCAATACTCCCTCGCCTCCCCAAAAATGCTTACTTGTTGTCCATAGCAAACCAAACACCCTCTGCCACTTCCAGCAAATCTTCCCGTGAGATGACAAAGTCCACTTCCCCTTGGCCAGGTCTGCGGAGCATTATATTCTCAAAAGGTATGGTCAAGTTGCTGTTACCGGTTATATGTGGTTTCTGGCCAGCCTTCCCTCGCTCAATTTTTATTTCTTGTGTTGCTTGAGGTTCCGGATTAGAAGACATTCTGGGCGGGATCGGAGCCCCACGTTTCCAAGCTGTAATGAAGATGGTCCCGCTTGGTCTCTTTATATCAATTGAAAGGGCCATTCTTACTTCATTATTGGTGTTAAGCCAAAATTTCATGTCGCTTTTTAGCTTTTCTCGTGTTTCCGAATATCCGACCTCTACGGCGATGCTCGGCCACTGGGTGGTTCTTCCTGGAGGAAGCTCGCGGGGAATCCATGACTTATCAGCTTGCTTCCACCTGTCTGGCGTGTCTGTTCGGGTACTGCCTCGGGGAAGGAGGATACGTCGAACATCATTCTCTTTTGCCCTATCATCAACAAGTCTTCCAAAGACACCAGCTGCCACCTCATATGGGAAGGAAACCATTGTCAGGATTAGGAGCTGCAGGTTCGGGTTGTAGTCCACTCTGCCAAAGAAGTTGTCTTCGTTCTGTTCAAATTCATCCACTGGGAGATTTGTAAAGATCACAAATGGGCTTTGAGTCCTATTTGTGATAAAACGATTGTAGGCTTGACCTGTAACTTCTTGTAGATGAGGAAGTCCTGAGTATTCATATTCACTGACATCTGGAGGAAGATGCAACTGCTCCAAAAAGCGGCGACTTTGCTTTGACAATTTGTTGGTCACTTTTTCTGACTCTCGTGAGTGAAGGGAGCGGGCCAGTGGATGTCCCAGGGGCTCAGAATTTGCCCCTGGTTGTGATATAGACTGCTTAGTTGCTTCGCTATCTTGCATTTTATATCTCTATTGTGATTCCGCTGGCTAGTATCTTGTTGAATGAAGAGCCAGAAGTTGCTGATGATATCCCTAGGTCTTGATGTTCTCGAACGCATCCAAAACACTTCCTCATTGACGTCACTGTCACTACGACAAAACTGTACAAGTACAATTATGATAGTCAAAGCTTATTAGCTATCATAAATGTGGACAGCTCCTGGAATTCCCTCATCCTGCAGAAAGAGGTATTCGAGGTTGACAGGAGGACCCATCCACTTCGGGAAGTTTGATGCCTCTGGGCGCTTCACTTGCCGACCATATGATATATGATAATTCAAGGACGAAAATAAACCGACTGTGAAAGATGGATTAAAGATGAGAATTTCTTATACTCGGTAGCCCGCAGACGCCTGCAGAATACAGTAACTACATACCAAGCCAATAATGAACTATGTCCTATCGTTGTTACTCATTATTAAACACGCTGCGGCTAAAGCGCCTCGGAATTAATTTCAATAGGAGAACCGCGTGCTCCAGGAAGGAAAATGTCAAGTTCTCATTGGGTCATTTGCACACATTCAGGCACCAAATACTCCATCCGTACTCTGCAACAGCGAGTGTGGCAAGACGAATCACTCCACTCTATCTCCGAACCAATAAGTATAGACGTCGCCAAGGCCAGGCTTCTCGGGCCGACCATGACTCCGCCGCGCCGACATTTTGCTGGCTATATTGTGACATAATCTCAACGTGGGGCAGCGCGACCTAGAGGCTCTACCAAGGCATGGACCAGCATCTCTTGTAACGGAGGGGTCTACTCCGGACGTCAGGGACCCCCGGGAGGAGTGGCCTGCGGTAATTTATGTTCAATGGTTGCTGTCGCATTTAGATGAGAAACATCTGTCATTCATTTTCTGCCTTGTGGGTTGACTGAATGTGCCCTTGGAGGATCGTGTGCCTCATATTTATAGACGCTGCTGTCTTCCTATATACCTCAGCACATATCCCCCTTTCGAAGAAGAGTAGTCTCTAGTCTGTCCTGGAAGATGGAAGAGCAGGTCAGCAGACTCGTGGACAAGGCCTGGGGTAAGCTTCAAAATTGCCCTTTCCCGTCCCAATCTATATTCCACAGAATCTAGAATATTTCCTTGAAGATGACTCTTACTTGTCTAAAACACCCACAGCCAAATTCCTCTCCACCTCGCCTTCCGCGCGCCTCATGATTGCCATCAGTGGAATCCCCGGCTCCGGCAAAACCTCCCTAGCAACCGCAATGACCAAACGGATAAACCAGCGGTACTCCACAACCTACCCCGACGCAGCCGCGCCCATTGCAACCTCGGTTTCAATGGACGGCTACCATCTCTCCCGCGCCCAGCTCGCCGCAATGCCAGAACCGGCCTACGCGATCGCGAGACGGGGCGCAGCGTTTACCTTCGACCCCGACAAATTCCTGCAACTGGTACGTGCGCTGCGGGAACCATTGGCCCCAGGCTCGCGCACGTTCTACGCGCCGAGTTTCGACCATGCCATCAAAGATCCCGTGGAAAACGACGTGCCCATCCCCGCGACGTCGCGGGTGATATTTTTCGAGGGCAATTATCTAAGTCTGGGGAAGGAGCCGTGGGAGGAGGCGGCGCGATTGATGGATGAGTTGTGGTTTGTTGAGGTAGATTTTGAGACGGCGCGGAAGAGGTTGGTTGCGCGGCACGTGAAGGCTGGGATTGCGAAAGATGAGGCGGAGGCGGATCGGAGGGCGGTCGAGAATGATTTGGTTAATGGGAGGGAAATTGTGGATTTCCGTATGGATGTGCAGGAGGTTATTGTTAGTCGGGAGGATGAGGAGTGGAAGACTTAAGGTTTTGATTGGAAATGGGCAGAAGGGGGAGGGGAGGAGGAAGGGGGGCAACTGGTTTTTATTAATGGCTTGATTTTGGTCATTTTCTGTCCAGCTTGTGTTTGATTCCTGCAATCGGAAGTATTTCGTGGTTATTATTGTTCTGTTTTTGGTTATTGAAGACTGAAGCAGGTGATATTATCTGATATCCGATATGGACGAGAAGTATTGCACGTGGGCCTAAAAGGGGGATGTGTCACCGCATGATACTGGATTTTCGTTAGGGGTAAGTAAGGTCAGTACCCCACAATAGGAACACTGGATTTGTCCGTTCCACACTCTTTAATAATAATACTAATACTCCGTGATCTGTGTTCCATATTGTTTGTGAACCTTGAAGCCAGAGCAGAGCCATGTTGTGTTCCCTTTTTGACCTTTGATATCGGGTGAAACAGCCAAGGAGTACACGCTAAACCACTTCCAGCTAGTCTGAGGGCTTGGCAGGAACCGACCGACCGTGTACCCGCCGCTTCGGGCCGCCATGTCAAGTCAATCGCCCCTGCCATTTGTTTGCCATTATTTGCCATCCGAGCAAGACTCAACAACCCGACCCTTTGTAACCTTCATTCATTCATTTTTTTCCCCTTTACGTCCATTTAACCAAGTCATTCCTTATCTACTCCGTACTACTACCTGAGTTAATTTGACAACCCTCTGTTCGACACTCGCTTTTATCTTTCAGCTTAGTTCTGCTGCGCAGCTTTCGACGAACTTCGTTTCGAATCAAAACGAACCAGCCTCTGTTTCAAGAACAACACCAACCTCGTGCTTTTTCTTAGTTACGGTAACTAGCAATCCGGAAAAAAAAAAACCGTCAAAATGTTTGCCTCTAAATTTGTCTTCTTCGCCGCCCTGTTGGCTCTATTCAACGCCGTCATCGCCGTGGCCCCTGGTTGTCTTATTGGAGCTATCAAGTACGTTAAACCCCCCAAAAATTCCCCCATAAGGAAAAGGGGACCAAGAGAGAAGAGCTCTCGTTTTGGAGAATGGGAGCATGGTAAACCTAGCCCAGGAATTAATTGTTAATGGCTCAATCAATAGCACCCAAAAGGACCCTCTTGACTTCAAGAATATCTGCGCCAACAAGGATGTCCAGCGCGAAATCGTGAAAATGTGCCCGGAGGGTACCGTGAAGGATGCTCTGAAATCGTTCTCAGACTCTTGCGCTGAAGCTGGTCAGAAAGTTTGTATGTTGTCACTTTTCGCTCTTCTCCTCTTCCTCAACAAAGGGGTTACTTTGACATTACGGGACGCAAATTGGAACTAATAAACGAATTTGTATTTGGTATAGCACTCATCGATATCAGCAAGCCGAATGGCTCTCCTGGTGGCTCGAATGGTGGTGGTGATGACGATGGTGATGATGATAATGGCAACGGTAGCGGTGCCAATCCCACCACCAGCTCCCCTGGTTCCTCACCCACCGATGAGTCCGCCGGATACGTACACAATGCCAACTCTTTCACCGTCGCAGCCGTCGTCGCTTTCGTTGGGCTTGTCTCGACTATGTGAGCACAGCAGGTGTAACATATTAAACAAGCGCACACTACGCCATCTCGCACCGTACCATATCAGATAAATATATTTTTGCGTTGTTTGCTTTTTTTTAACCTCTTAAAGCATTACTGTCATAAGAGAACGGGGTATGGCCAGGGGTTTTCCTCCTTTTTTATAGACGTGG